AGCTTTTGTCCAATCAGTTACAAAAAGGCACTGGTCAAAACACTGTTTTACAGAACAGAAAGAATATGTACTTCCGATACACTAGAAGAGGAAGTTATGAATGTTAAAAAATGTTTAAAGAATAACGGATACCCACTGAAATTTATTGAGAAATACGGCAAATGTGAGGTTAAAAAGCCGAAAGAAATTACAGCAAATAAAAAGCCTATTTTTATTAAACTTCAATTCAAAGGTGACGATGTCACAGGATCAATCAATATGAGACTAAAAACTGCACTGACAAGAACTTATCCTGCAGCGAAATTGATTGTCCTGTCCAAAACAACATGCTCTTTGACACAATCAAAGGTCGATAGGTATCCCTTTCATGTTACCACCAACTGTGTATACAAATTTACATGTACCTGCCAAAGCAGTTACATTGGTAGAACAGAAAGGAGAGCCTACGTCCGATTCAAAGAACATATTCCGAAAAGTTTAAGGTTAAATGGATTGAACGCATTCAACAGTGCTATCGCCAGACATCTCCTTGATACAGGACATAAAGCTGATATACTGAAGTCCTTCAAGGTGATTAACAAACAATCAAACTCGAACCTTTTGAAATTTGCTGAAGCGTTAGCAATCAAACGTTTAAAACCAGATCTATGTATACAAAAAGAGACAGTAATAAATCTTTCTTTACCCTGGTAACAATAACCCGCACTCTTTCTATTAATTTGCTCCTATTTATTTATTTATTTATTACGTGATTATTGCAACTCTTTCTAAAATATAAATTACATCATACATAACTGATTGATTTCAATTCATATTTTCTTTATTACCATTAATCTATTTTCATGAGTTCTAATCACTATTTCAATGTTCTGGAACTTTCCCTCTCAAACTTTATTTATTTATTCGAATCAAACATTTTATGAGCTCATTAACTCTATCTGAATATTCGCTACATCATCATACACATGTATTGATCCTTAATCACACTCTTATATATAAATATGTCAATATCTGTATTAATGTTGGATTTTAAATAATTTAGGTTGTAAGCAGCTGATGAGAACCTAACGAAATAAAATGAATTCATATTATTCTGCACCAATTTTTGTTCTTGCTCTCTTTAAAATAATAAAGGGAACTATGTGTATGAAATTTAAACAAATAATTAGAGAGATTTATTGCACTAATATATATATATATATGTCGGCTGAGTGAATGTAATTAAGAAACGAAACACGTCTAATCTATTAGATCTGCGCCATGAACGATGAGTGGAATTCTCATAGTTGTGAGATTTACCGTCTGGTTGGATACGAGTGACGTTCCAACTTATTCCCAGATCTCGGAGGTAGAAGTTTGTTTCCTTTACGGCGAGGTTGATGGGAAAAACAGACCATATTTAAAGGCCTCCAATGTCACTGGGTTGTTTAGTTCCCAATCATTTGAGACTCCATTTCAAAGTGAAGGCGTCCTCCGAACGATTCTGTTCGGAATATGTGTAACGATCTAGAAATAGTGTGTTTACTTCATATCGGGTGACGCACGTTAACCCACTTAGGGCTTACATCCAAGCGGTTAGCATCGATCGTAAAATACTATTCAGTCCATCCATCCTATGCTTCATTGTGAATCTCAATGGTCGAGTGCATGTACGTCCATCTGGAAGTTTACAACAGGTTCAGTGTACCTACAATTGTCATAACGTTGTAGTACATTCAGGTTCACGGATAGTTAATGGAATACACAAATTGAGGAGCTAACAAAATGCGTCCATTTATCTTGTATTTAGAAGTGTTCATCCCAATTTTTGGCACGTTCTTAATAGATGGGCGCCAATCGTTCTACACGTCATAAAAAGTGAAACTGATTTACTAGAATCTTATACCGCTTCTAAAGCACCTGTGATGCTACTTTTGTAAATAAAGTACGGTACTGCAAGAGGGTATAGCTTCATTACGCAGAATTAAATCGGTCAGTTTCAACAATATGTGATCTAATTACCGTGAGATTAGCTCTAATGTAGTTTGTCATCAAGGAATATGTTTGGTTGAGTGTTGTACTTCCTTGTTTTGCTGATGGTCTACAAAAACCCTCGGAGCTACTTTGACGTGAAATCCATGGATATCGTTTTAAGAAAGTAACCAGAGTACCTAACCACTGGAACATTAACATCTGAAAACAGATTCACCCATAGAAAAGCGAATAGAGCCTGATTCATTGTATTCATAAAGGAAACGAGTGCGAACTCTGACAAACTACAACTGTGGGATCACCAACAACAGTACGAATTAGGAGCTTGGGGATAGAAACGATGCATTCTTGAGATATTACGCCACCTATCACCGAGTAAACTCCGCCTGTAGCTCTTCCAAAGTTACTGCCGTTCCCAAGCCCGGGTAGAGGAGGGTTGAGTGTGGGGCCGGCAACCATAAGCACATTGAACTATGCCCTCTGAGTTGAAGGAAAATTTATGACGCCGCATGATAAAAGCCGAGATTACTCGGAACTCACGAGGCCGATGCCCCTTCTAACAATTTTTATAGGTATATGGAACGTCCGAAAAACGTGGAGGACCAGTTAATTAGCAACGGAAATGAGATACAACTTGGCAGTATGCGGAGTCAGCAAAACCCATTGGACCCAAGCTGGACGGAAAAGTCTAGATACGGGAGAGATGCTTCTATCCTCCGGTCACGAAGAAAAAATGCCCCACACAATCAGAGTTGCTCCTAGGCTGTCTAAAGAATCACGAAATGCATTTATAGAGTGGGAATCTCATGGAGCCAGGACCATCAAAGCATTTTTCAAGAAAAAGAGAAGAAATCACAACAAATGCTATTCAGAAGAAACTACTACGGAGAATAGTTCGAAAGGGATCAGAGAAGCTCTAACTTCGACGTGTCAGGTGCCGGGCTGCAAGAAGGATCATACGGAATGATTCTCTATCGAAACCCTGGAAAAAATTCAAAAAGGAAAAAACAAGACAGCAAATGAGAACAACCGAATAAGGACAGAAAAAGTCAAGATACAAGGTGAGTACATAGGCAAACAAGCAAGTGTAGATGAGCATTAGAGCCGATAAGCAGAAATATGTGAAACACCTATCAACGACAGTGGAAAAAGCTGCAACGGAAGGAAATATGAAACAACGAAGAAAATAGCAGGAAAATATAGTAAACCAGAGAACAGTCAAGGACAAAGAAGGCAAATCAATCACCGAGATTCAATGACAGAAGAACAGATGGGCGCAACACTTCAGGGAACTCTTGAATAAGCCAGCTCAATCGAAGCAGCACACACCAATCTTCCTAAAAAGTCAGCATGGCTGCCAGACAAACCAAGAGTGAGAAAGCAGCAGAACCTGACAATATACCAGCTGAAGCACTTAAGTCAGACGGAAGTAACTGCAAGTATGCTTCACGTCCTATTCAAGAAAATTAGGGAGAAAGAACAAGTTCCGATGGACTGGAGAGAATGGCAACTCATCGACACACCAAAGAAACGAGATCTGGGTAAATGTGAGAAATATAGAGCAATCACACTACCATCAGTACCAGAAACAACTTTCGAAAGTCCTGCTAAACCGGATAAAGATTCAGTAGACTCCCAGCTTCAAGACCAATAGGCCGGATTCCGTAAAGATCAGTCATGCACAGATCAAATCGCAACACTACAGCGAACCGACGCATTCCAGGTGCGGACCGGAGTCAACCAAGATAGGTAAAAACAAACAATGGAGCAGCATCCTCCGCGTCAGTAGGCCTCAACATGCACAAGTGTAAAAACAAGAACCCCAGGCACAACACAGGGAACATCAACACAATCTCATTTGGTGGAGAAGCTTTGGACCGGGTGAAATCTTTCGCGTACCTGAACAGCATCGTTGGTGAACGTGTAGAGCGCTAACTTGGGATCGTGAAGGGAAACGAGAACGAAGAAGGCCAATGAGCACATCACTTCGGGAAATAGAAACAGACATGAAATTGATGAAAAGCAACTGGAAAGGACTGACCAAGAGAGCATTGCATGGAGAATGTCGGTGGACAGCCACTCTACGAGAAGTGACAGGCCTAAGTAAATCTCATCGAGTCCTGATATCAAACCAGCCTTTCAGGATATAAACACGCACCTACTGCAACGTCACAAGGTGTGTCTATCTACATCTTAGATTCCACCGATGCTAAATTCCTCAAGTATATTTAGGAAAGACCAGTCTTTCAGGAGGCGCATTGGAGTCCAGTCTTCTGATAACGAAACTTCACAAAAACCACCTACCTGGCCAATAAATCTCGATCATCTCAAAAGCGTACTGGGGTATTTGGTTGAGTTTCAGAAACGAACATGTCTAAACTAATTCCACTGAGAACACCTTGTCATTCTAAAAAAGTCACGATGAACAGTGACACATGGCTCAAGTATATTGGTGGCTTTCTACAAACGCAGCTATTACCAATACGATATATTGTAATATCCATGGTATTTGAATCAAAATGAGTGCAGCCAAGAAACCACATTAAAATCTCATAATAGGTTTTTGCATAGCCTTGAGTGAAATTGCGAAGATATTACTTCTCACACTGAGATAGTCAAATTAACACTTTTCATGGATTTTTGTACATATATTTCATAAATTTGAACACTCGACTCAGACTGATGGAATTCAGGGGCGGTTAAAGTAAATCGTGGGACTAGGCCATAAATTCACTAACTTCTGGTACGAGCCATGTTGTTAGATGCAGACCACTTGGTTCGGGTCAGCTCGACTACCATAACCAGTGGTTGGAAAATGGGTGACATGGCACAGGATCGACCACAGTGGCGTAGGTGTATGAACTCTTTGTCTTGCCTTAAACCGTGAGATTAAAATTACTTTATGCCCTTCATTCTACCAAATACTCCTTTCCGCCTCGATTATATCCTTACATGTAATCTTTTTTGCATTACTGGAGTAACTGCTATGAATCCGATGCTGATCTTGTTGCGCTAATGAGGTATGACAACTTGGACCGACGCATATATGTGCTTGGTCCTAAGTTGTAGATGACTAACTGACATCCAACCCAACTAACGAACTTCATAAACTAGAACTCATCAAAACAGTGTCGAAAGCCATGTATCGATACTAAAATTATAGGATGTTTCAACCATTGACACGAAACTGAAGTTATACGCTCATCTTTACTTTGCCCGAAATTACAATACTACTGTACACCAACCGGGTATCCTTTTTGTTCAAATTATTGGTGGCTTGCTCCTAGTTGCCCAAAAAGATAAGCTGAAGCAGAAAAAATACTAAGAAACGGGACGTATTATATTGGCTTTATTTTGAAGTGCAATCCAATTAGCGAGAACACCAGACACTTCAGGTCCTGAACTAGGTAATAATATGTTCTTAATCCTTCAGGATCCCTTTGTTTAAAATTAGATTAAATGAGTCACTCACTTGCTATTCGTAATGTCAATCAAAGATCCTATTTTCGAAGTTGTGAAAGATATGTGTTCATCGCCACAAACAATTTCAAGCTCTTGACGGCCAACTCTATCAGGTACTGGCCACGAAGCATCATCTTCCGACATAATATCGCTCTCCAACACGATTCTCTTCAGTTCTTCCATTACAGAAGGGCTTACGTACGCCTGGAGTATCATTTGAATTATAAAGTAATGGTACCTCTTTCCGAATCATTGTGTCATTTTTATAATTAGAGTTGTTAGCATATCTAAGCTTGCCTAAAAAAATCTACAAGTAAGAAAACTGTACCTTCAGGTCTGAACTCGAACTCAAGAAATTCATGTCCAAACTTGCCCTTATGACCAACGTAGTATCGCAAATAAAAAGAGCTTGCCATTGGTCAACCACTGTTTTTGGAATTATCTCTATGTTGTCTCGACAGGCGACCAGAATTTTTTCGAACACTACCTACATATAAAGAGACGAGAGTTAATTGGGTTGTAGTACCAAGCAACTCGAGCGATGAGTACGGGGTGATATTGGAAATACCTAATTTCGTACCATACTGATTCATATAAACTGCCAATGTGTTTGAAGTAGTACGAATGTACATTACATATAGAAACGACATTCAAGATCTGCATAGAACGCAACTGTCATACGTGAATGAGGTTTTGGGAGTTACTTCTACCAGGAAAGGTGAAAACGATAGAATGTAAGACAAGGTAACACATAATGCCCGAAAGGAATTCACTCATGATGTGAAAACACCTCTTTGAAAAAGTCCTTTGCGCCTGACTAACACATAAAATATGCTGTTCTTTAACTAGATTTATAGTCAACTGATAGATCTCCCTTCTATTATATAACGACGAAAACACAATAAATACCCACACCCAACCCTCCAGACAAATCCCGCCTTACCAGACAGAACAATGTCCACTGCTGAAAGCACGACCTTGACAGTTGCATTAAACAGTTACGACATTATGACGTTACGAAAACTTAACCCATTCATTTATTATTTTTCCTTGTTGAATAAATCCTACGTAAAATACATAGCATATAATTACTCGTCATCGCGATATTACTTTATTTGCACAGTGTAAACAACTGAATACCACTATAATAAGCTGTCATGGTTCGTTTACAAGCATATGCGGCATGTGAACTATCTAGTGTGTTATGTTTGTTCAAAATATCAACCACTCGTAATTTCAGCTCCCAAGTACTGTAAACATACGTATTCTTGCAAGATCTGCACCTAATATAGCAAGGATTAGATCAATCAACAACTGAAAATACAAATTCTTGCTTTACCACTAAAATTTCTTACCCCAAAATACACTATGAACTGGTTTCTGTTATCTTTTCATAAACCGCCTGCTTTATTCATAACTGCCGATAATCCTTCCCCGCACGAGAAGAAAGCATGCCAAAAGCTTACGGTAAGCTTGGATTATAAAACTTTTGTGATCTTATATCACGGTACTTTATCCTTTAGTATGTTGATATTCTACCATTCTCTGCTTCTGGGTCTATTAGCTTTTAAATCATTGGATACCAAGGGTTTCGGACAAAATTTTCGTCGAAGCCTAGGTATTTCTGACCGCTGCGATGCCGTATTAAAAATCAACCGCATCAAATCTAATAAACTGCGAAATTAAGAATCTAAATCATTCAAATTTCACCATTGCTTCCGAAAATTGTTTACTGTCTTTCTGACTATTCTCAGCACAATCACCATGCGCCACCATTATGCATACTAATCAGTAGTGATTTTTTAGTGACATGCAAAAATGACTGCCGTATACGAGCAACACAAGTGATTAATATCTTTGAGCGAACATGACAAACAAATTTGTAGTGCTATAAATTTTGAAGTTTATCCATCGGTACCGAGGTCGGGACTTATTACTGTTATTATTATCTGTCCGACCCTGCCGGTTCGTTTGACTTGTGTCTCATGGATCAGTGCACGTGTATATAGTGATTGAAACAATGGGAGGTAACATGCCAACCAAACGTATCAATGTTCTTTGTTGAACTTATTAATTTAGAGGCTCACATGAAGTTTACTTGTAAAGGACAAAAGATTTACTGTGCAAGACGGTGTGGTTCGTGACTGTTAACGATAAAATTGTGACATGAACAGCCGTTTGTACCCTTTCATAACATTAATTGTAGAATATGTTTACAGGATATCATCCCAGAGTTGAATATTGACCATTCGTATATCAATCTGGAAAACGCCGTTGGACAAGTTGATTTATTTGGTTACCTGGTAGGTGATGTATTGCTCTCTTGCGATTATCATTGCCCAGCACAAGTGGTTTCCATATGTAAGAGGGCAGGTCTTGTTTCAAACGCATTACAGCATAATCAAACCGACTTGCGATCTGATGACACAGTCATTCTCTCGAACCATCAATCTGGGTAGTAGAGTGATTCTGCTGCAAACCGTATACGACAATGTCACACCTGCTTTGAACCTGACAGTGGTTTACACCGATATTATATGCCTGAAGTCAGAGTAACAATCTTGGTTACATCTCACGTTGTTTTCGAAAATTGTTGAATATTTAACGTTTCAACTAACATTCAGCTCTCCCCGTTTATCGTCTCATCATGATAAACTTCAGGTTATAGATATATAATCCATTACTATGCCACCAATATTTGTGGTCTCTAGGCCCTCTTGATTGAAGCAACTTTTGACAACCAGTTTGTAATCAGCGGTTAGAGTATAACAGAAGAATGAAAAAAATTCACAGGTCAGAATTGTGAAAAACAATTGTCTATCTGACAAGTATGAGTGCTACGTTTGAAGTGATTACGAGTTCACCTAGTTTGTGAACGGAATAAAGACTATGTGACCAAAAACCAATAAACTAGCTATTATGATGCGTCCCAGCCCCGCTAACCAAAGAGAAGGTGAAGTTCGAAAAAGGGAAAATATATTTTGCAAGCAGCTAGAAGCTCGAGCAATGAGACAGGTACAAACCAAAAGTTTATATACAGCGTGAAAGTGTCCATAAGAAACGCTACGAGGTGGCATACTAAAAGATACAACGAACCAATAGCGTTTAAGACTCTCCCAAGTAGGAAATATGACATGAAGCTGACAATGGATGCTTTTTGCACGAAAACAAGAAATTCACATTTTTTAAATAATATTGGAAAAATAAGGTACTTATCAACTGAGTTCTGGGGATCTAACAATGAAGAAAAACGCAAAACACCACCAGAGACCAAAACATTTTCCCAGCATGACATTGGGTTGGTAAAACATCTACTAAATTAGCTAGTACCTCAGAATATCTCCTCAGTTGCCTTGTTAAAGGTGCCTCGCTGCTCCTTCATTAATCCTTTCTCGGAATCTTCCTTTGAGTGCACATCTATGGACCTTATGATGCTAGGAACAAACTCGGTATACGCGTTTTCTCAAGGTCATAGTTCACAACAAGCGTTCCACTAGTCGGCTTTATAATAGTTTGCACGACCACAATCCCAACACAATTATGCCGAGCTTGGATTTGGTGTTTAACATGGACGCCATGTCACAATGGAAAATACTTTAAAGACTGTACAAACACATAGCATAAACCTAATGATTAACGCTCGAAGACATCTGCATGAATGTACTATTGTTCAGTTTTACTGATTATATCTATTGAACAACCCTACATGGGAGCCAACAAATGTTGTGATTTTTAGATAATGCCTGTAAAAATGGTGAGTACCTGCCCTTACAGAAATACATTATTATAACCTTGTGATCATCAGGAAAATTGTTAAAGGACAACAACTGATCACGATTTAAAACGATAAACTGTAACCTAAATATTACTACAGAAAGGAATTCGAGGCAAGATAATAATAATTTATTCTCAAATGACACTTTGTTACATGGGGCATACCAGTTTAACGGGCAAAATCAAATTGTTACAAAAGATACAATTTTCACCGTAGTAAATTACACGGCTGGGTTTATATTTTAAAAGATATGAATGTAGATGCTTTTATTAAGAATCGTATTTTCAGTACCACATTTGTCGCGCTCTATGAAGGTTGCGTAGCGACGTGCAACAGCAGCAATACAGTAATGTCATGAAATGTTTTGCGCTACTCCATGTCTAGACCAAAATGGACTTCAAGTTCAGTCTGTCTTATTTTTCCTACCTTGCAACTGTATTAGTTAATTCTTCCACCCTATTTCTTCACTTGAAGTAGACAGGTAACTCACTGGACCTATCATTACTGTTAAACTAAACTCGGTCGATAAGGAACACTCACTATCACCCTAAAATGTCAAGAGGACCGCACAATCGACTGCCTACTACCAGTGATCTTGCATCTATGGAACCTGTTACCAATCAACTGGTTAGGTCAACACAAAATAACGTCAGCACCAAGTTGATGTGGGTTACTTCCTGTTTATCCTGTATTAGCTTTTTACTCTTCTGTACACTATATTGGCTAGCAATTTATATTATTTCTCCACTTGTTACCTTAACTACAACTCATATACTTCTATACTTTTCCGTCTGCATTAATCAACAACTACCCTATATTCTACCCTTCTTAGTGCTTATACTCTAATCAAACTACTTTATACTATAATCAATTAAAGCACTGCCTTACCCACAGTCCATAACTTGTAACTGCCTGATAAGCTTGTAAAATGGTACTTATAGAGATAGTGTTTTCCAACAGGTTGTGAAACACAGAGGATTGTGTGAGGTATGACATATATCCAAAAATAAGCTTAAATGAGCCTAACATCACAAAAGGAGGGAGGGTGGAGTTACTGACCACCAGGCATTGATGGTGAGGGCGATGACTTCGACCCACCCATGTTTGTGGGGGCAGAACTTTTGTATGTATCAGGTTCTTTATAACTGAGGATAAGTCAATCAACCTGTGATATAGACTGTCTTCCTACGCTCACCACTCAGGCTAATGTTTCCGATTTTATGCTGGATTAGCTATTCTACTAGGACAACCTATAACATGCTAACTCGGAATTTTACACTAGGATTGTATGGCCGTTATCGGAAGGACAAAAACGAAAAGAGAGAAAAAAATTGAGTACAAAAGATATAGTCATTAGTATTCTCAACATTTCACCCTCTATATGCACACCCCGTTCCAATAAACCGCTTTCCTTGTAATAATAATAATAATAATAATTTATTGTCAAATAACAGTTTGTTACATGAGACATGCCAGTTTACAGGCAAGTTGGGCAGACGATAACGGACTTACCTTTAACACTTCAAAGTGTAAAGTAGTCCATCTGTGACATGTCGCAAACTACAGTTACAACTTAGGAAACTCCTCTCTATTAGTATCCCAAGTCGAAAAAGATCTAGGAGTCCTGGTGCCCCATGACTTAAAGTCTTACGTTAACTGTGACAAAAATGCCTTCCGAGCAAACCTTGCACTGGTAACGTTGAGGCGCATTTTTGGCCAGTTTGACGGAAGAACTTTCCACACAATCTTCAATAGTTTCATCCGTCCCCATTTAGAGTACGGAAACATAGTACTCCCCCCTCACTCCAAAAGGACAAGGTCACTTTGGAGCGTATCCAACGGCGAGCCACGAAATCAGTTCGAGGACTCAAATCTAAGCCTTACGAAGAACGCCTCCGTTCACTAGACCTTTACCCACTAGAATATAGGCGTCTTAGAGGTGATTTATTATTATTATAATTATTATTAATGGCTTTATTCAATATTATATTTTGGTACAATATAGAATTCTCAGCACAGGGTATTTCAACAAGTTACTTATGCAAACAAAAATAGTAACAAAGACAAAAAAAGTTTAAAAAAATATCTGAAAAACAGTACAACATTTAAAATTAAAGTCATGTTAAGAATGCAGGTTATTGGCTAGATTAACTCTAACAACCTGTTCGTCACAGAGTATATTTGCTAGATAAGGTATTATAGAACATTTGTACTTT